CGAATTAATAAAAAGACATTAAAATGTATGCTTCCTTATCCTAAATTTTGTCCGCATTAATTTTGACTATGTGGCCAAAACTATTAAAGATTCAAAGCTGACTTTTGCCGCCTTGTCAAAACGAGGATTCTAATCGGACTGTCAAACTGACTGTTCACTTTAGCGGTAAACATTTGTCCATGGGTGAGAGGCAAATTTCTTAATTTATTTTTGCGAAGCTACTTTGACGTGTCACTTGAGGAATTTTTCGATAATCTTTTGAAAAAAGGTTTGTAGTGAACTGTTTGGCTGAACTCTTTCGAGGTGTTCGGATTTTAATGGAAATCTATATAGATATGTATAGTTGTCGACGAAAAGTAATTTGGGAGTTTTAGAGGTTTTCTTGTATAAAATACCTAAACTATTTTACAGTTTCAGAATTAGTTCGAAATGAAACAATTAGTTGTGCACAATAATGTGTATTTTTGTTAACAAGGACAAAAAGAAGGTGCCAAAGACGTCTTTGTACAATTTTCTTAAATGCTGTAAAGACACAATTTAGATATAAACACTATATAGCCTAACACTAACAACAATAACACTGATAATAACACTACAAAAACAAAAATTAAGCCTATAATTTTCGGATTTTCAGATTATAATAAACATCTTTTTGCCAAGCAAATAAATCCTTTGTCTTCAGTACATCCACAATTTGTCTCCACGTGCCTGTTGCAGCTGAAGTGTTACCGAAATAGCAGAGAAGAAAGATCTTATAAACTCCACTGCGAGATTGTAGTTAAGAGAAATATGTTCGCTATACCGAAACCTGAAGGGTTTCATGGTTCCCGTGAGGAACGTGAGATACATTTTTTTGTTCGATTCGTTCCACTGATACCACTGAACCGCGACCAACCTGTCAAAAATTTCCGTGGACTGAAAGTGAAAAGTGAGAGCTGTTAACAAAAATATTTTTTGGTTACCAAATCCTCAAAGCTCTGTCCACATGACGCAAGTCCAAATATAGTCAAGAACGACATAATGGTCACAGAGAATAATCGTTTTAGCTGCGTATTGTTCCAAAAATCGTCAAGCTAAAATTCGGTAGCATAAGTACATCGGGATACACGTTTTCTAAATTTTACCGAGAAAGCATAGAACACAACACCGATCCACACCAGAAGTCCTCCGATTTTAAACAGAAACATGGCGACGTGGATTTGTTTTTCGAATTTGCGTACTACCCTAAAACTGAAAATAAAACCATTACCGACAGATTTTGGTTTCTCTTACGAAGTGAGTCTACAGTGAAATTTCAGGCTTCGCACGAGTCGGTTCCTGACGACTTCATGAAATGTCGGGTCTGCATTCAAGTGTTGTAGCTTTTCGTATCCACTGTTGATATTTTCAATTTGATCGTTTAAGACGTACGTGGCAAACCTGATCTTCGTGAAACAGTAAATGAGTTGATATAGAGGAATCGCTCCAGGTACAAAAGTTATAACAAAGCAGCGTCTAAGTACAAATTCCCATATTTTTTTGTAGTTGAGAGAATATTTTGTCAACAGGTGATTAACACAGAATAAATTTTCATCACCTTGTTGTGGCATAATAAACTGTCCTGTGGTTAAAATTGCAACAAATGAATGTATAGTAAGGCAAAGCAAAGTTTGAAGTGCTGTTTGTTTGATTTTTTTCTCGGTTTCCTTACTCAGGACGTGATTTGTTTCCATTTGTACGAATTCATCGTCGAAATTTTTTAGCATTTTTAATAAAAAGGATAAAGACATCAGGCAGTATAATATCTACGAAAATAAAATCAGTTGAATGTATTTCATGCGTAACTATTGTCTGACTTGTAAGGCTGAAACGTAAGAAAACACGAAGCGAAGCAAGTAGTCAAAATCAAATTCGTACAAAAAGAGGTACGATTGAATCAATATCGTTGCAAGTAAAGCAACCTTTGTAAAAAAGACACTCTTTTTTATTAATTTAATTTCGTAAAAATCAATTGCCAACTTGCGGGATATCTTTAAAGTAAAATTCTGCAAAGTCACTGAACCTGAAAATATTTTGGTTTCCCTTAGGTACTGTTTTTTTTAGTCTTACCTGACGTGGACATTTTTAAAAGCCGTCCCAACAACACAAAAGTAGGAGAGAATATGTTCCAACGACGTTGGTTTTTCAATTATCGATTCTTAAATACAGTACTAGTTTTGAATTTTTTATAATACTCAGTTTATGTTCTCCAAGTTGGCTACGTTTTTATATAAATAGCTCGAAAATAATTAAAGTTCTTTTGTTGAATGACGTGTACTTAACTTCGACATTTAACAAAGAACAAGTGACAAACTGATTAATTTTGATTAAGTGGTCAAAAATATTAACGATTCAAAGCTGACTTTTGCTTTTCTTGATTAATTTTTTCGAAGCCACTTTGACTAATTGTATTTTCTTGAAATATAATACATTATTTGTTTTTTATTTAACCACTTGAGAAATTTTTCGACAACATTTGGAAAAAACTTATAGTTGATCAAAAATGCACTTTAGATATAAATATTTTTGGGAGTGCAGTGTACTTAAGTTAAACACTTAGACCCATATAGATGAAATTTTCTGGACACTGAGTGAGAATGTCTAGGCACGCGACAGCTGCAATTGAACTATCACTGTAATGGCAGAAAAAAATGACCTTAATATCTAGAACAAACACCAATGATTCTAGAATAACTTGCCACAAATATATACCTCCACTGCAAGTTCATAATTGAGTGAAATATTTTCGCTGTACTTAATTCTAAACGGCTTCAAAGTACTTATAAGCAACATGTAATACATTTTTTTGTTAGATTCGTTCCACTGATACCACGGCACCATCATTAACGCATCAAACAAACCATTTGTCTAAAAATTAAAAGTTCCAAAACCCATTTCACAGTGACATTAACTTGCCAAGTCCTCAGTAACTTGTCCAACTGCGGCGAGACCAGCCAGTGTTAAAAACGAACAAATTGCCAGAGAGCATAAACGATTCAGTTGCGGATTTGTCCAAAAATTCTCAAGCTACAATCAAACTCAGCAAAATTCTAAATTTTCACCTTAAATCATACCGAGAATGCGTAAAGCACGATACTGATCATCATAAAAATTCCGCCAATTTTGAACGGAAACAAGAACTTTTGGTTGCGTTTTTCAACTTCACGCATAAACCTTAAATTTGAAACATATATGCTTTGTACAGATAAACGTGTTACCTACAGAGAGATGTGAACATATAGTTCGAAACAGCGCAAAAGTCTGTCTTTGACGGTCTTATGAAATGCTTCGTCGAATCTCAAGTGTTGCCTTTTTTCATATCCATTGTGGATGTTTTCAATTTGATCCCTTACTGCTTCGAATACAAATTTAACGGACAAATAACCGTAGATAATGTTGTAAATAGGAAACACTCCCGTAATACAACCTACTAAAAATGCAGGTCTACACACAATGCTTAGTACGCTTTTCCACACTGGAAAATATTTTCTAAATATATGGAAAACAAACATAAAATCTTCGTCGTTTTCGCACGGTAAAATAAATTCTACTGTTATAATCAGCACACTGGCAAGATGTAGAAACATGTAACACAAAAAATACACCGTTTCTCGTTTAATTCTGGCCTCGGCTTGCCTAGATAATACCTGGTCTAAATCTTTGGGCTGAACTTTTTGCTCAATCATTTTGATGATCTTCCGCGTAAATGGTATACATACCAAGCAGAGCAACAGCTGCAAAAACCAAATTAAGCTAAATTAACGGATGCTGGACTCTCTCACATAGAATGCCATAAAATACGACGCTCCATACTTCAACAAATAGTTCAAATCAAATTCGTGCAAGAAAAGGTAGGTTTGAAATAGTACATATAAAGATAATACTATCGAATAAGTTAAGAAGAAATTTTGAAGATATCTGTTTTGAAGAACTTTAATTGCCACCAAACGGCTGACTTTTAGAGCTAAATTATCGAAGACGGGTTTCCCTAAACATAAATTTTCAGTATTGGGTGATGCGTTTTATTTTGGTAAAACTTACCCGAGGTAAACTGCATTTTACGCAACACGTGCAAGAGACAATGAGAACTTTTATTAACATGAGATTAACGCAAAGAATGAGTACTGAATTTTAGGACCAAGTTTTCCAAGCATTTAAGTTTACTCATTTGAGCATAAATAGAATTAAAATGAGAAAACTTTTAGAAGCTGACGTGTCCTGCAGTGAAATGCATAAATGACCTACTAACTTAGAAATAATTAAAGTCAATACTGAGGAAAAAGTGGTTTGATGAATTAATAAATAGCGAACAATAAAGAAGACTTAAATATATACTAACAGAATGTAAGCGGTATCAACACCAAAACCTCTGACATTCTTCTTAATTCTCCATCCATGTCCCAATATGACCTGATTATAGGACCAGAAACTTTATTAATTTTAAATTCTTTTGATTAGCAAGTTTTAGTGTGAATAGCCTGAATAGAATATCAAGTTCGAGCTACGAGCTCGGTGTCGGTGTCGGTGTCGATTCCATTTCTTAGGGCCCCAGAATGCTCTAAGAGAACACAACCTACACCCACTGTCAGAATGCATTGAGTATCTTAGACCACAACGATCCTCAGGATGCTGAAATGATACACAGATAACTCCCGGAACTCCGTCTGAGTGTAGATGTTGCTTGACGAATTATTCCTGGACCCAAGTATATTGCGGTGTTTCTGTTATTTTGTTAAACTAAATTTAATTCTGCGTTTATTTGTCTTCTTTTTTTTTGCTAATTTATACATCATGTGTCAATGGTGAATAGTTTTTTAATAAAATAACGATCACAATATTATTATAATAATTAATTATGATATTTCTATATGATAAATAAATAAAAAATACATGGATATTTACTTTAATTAACCCAATCATCATCTTTTAAGAGATAAATTAATGACTTCGCCAAGTTAACTGATGTGTCTTTGCCCTTCCAGGTATGGTAGGCTGGCGCCACACCCCCGCCCACACCCTGGAGCGCCTGGGCCCCCTCTACGTCAGCCCCCTGCACACCCTGCCCCCAAAGGAGCCCGCGACATCCATCATCCTCGGCTAGCCCCGCGTCGCCACAAAAACAAATAAACACGAAATAAAGTCACAAAAAGCCCTTTATTACAATGACCGTTACGAAATCCTAGCAAAATGCCCCTCGTTAAAACTATGATTTACACATCACGTTAGTAGCCGGCATCCGCAGGACTAGTGTGCGACTCCCGACCGAAATTAGCCCTAATCAAAAGGCCCTAAGGTCGAGAATGCCCCACGCCGAAGTTACATTGTTGCAGGAACGAGACGAGGAAATAAAATGAACGATAAACTTTGCTAAGAATTAACTCTATAACTGTAAGCCCGGCAAGAACACGTACTATTTTCATAAGGAATTGCTCTCGCTGAAGCGTCGGGGGCGGATGCCGCCGCCGCCCGTCGAACTTTGGCAGCTTTGTTTTATGCAATTAAGGGGATTCGCCTGGATGCGGTCGCTGGCAGAACGTCAAATTGCTTTGTTGGTATTTTTAGGGCGCGGGAGGGGCGGTTTTTGCTTGGTTAGAAGTTTTCGAAAATCCAAAATAAAATAAAATAGAGCTTCGGGCTATTGCGTACGCCACCAACGCTCGTACGCATACACGAGCGTCGGGGGCGACTGTAATAGCCCGAAATTCTAACGTATTCAGACGGATTCTTACGACAAAAGTTAAACCAATTACGCCATGTTCATTTTTCCCATGAAAGCAACAATTGGAAGCGCTTTCGACATCAAGGTCAATTTCTCGAGGTCCAATTTTATCAGTTTTTTGTTCCGTTTTTTTTTATTTTTACAATTTTATCGAATTTTCATTGTTGTAATTTTATAATTTTTGTTTTTCCGGTTTTAATTTTTCTAATTTTTCTTTTCTTCATTTGTTCGTTTTGCAGTTTTTCAATTTTTAATATTTTTTTTTGTTTCTCCAATTTTACGATGTCATTACGCTTTCATTTTTAAATTTTTCAGTTTTCCGATTTTCCAGATTTTTCAGGTTTTAGATTTTGCAATTTTTCAGTTTACAATTTCACGAGTTTTCATTCAATTTTAAAATTTTTCATTTCTTTAATTTTTGTATTTATTTTGTGGTTTTATGTTTCGGTTTTTTATTTTTTTTTCAATTTTTCGGTTCTTCAGTGTCTTAATTTTCTAATTTTTCTTTTTTTCAGTGTGAAAGTTTTTGATTTTCAATTTAATATATTTTTTCGTTTCTTCACTTTTTGATTTGCAATATTCCTAATTTTCATTTTAAAACAATTATGCAATTATAATTATAATTTAAAACATTTTTCAATTTTACGACTTCAGAATTTTTTTATTTTTCATTTATTCGATTTTTCGATTTTTCTCTGTTTAATTTTTCATTTTCTAGATATATACTTTACGAATTTTCGATTCGATTCGTTTTTTCTTCTTTCCAGGTTTTTGAATAATTTTTTTTTCTACTTTTTACATACATACATACATAGGACTTTATTCATGATAAAATGATACATGATTAGGCGGAGTCTAGCCATAGGCTATTCCACTCAACCTTCCAAAATAAATATTAAATGCAAAAACAATAAAATAATAAAATTAACTTAGAGATGCAATATCTAGGAAGAAAATAATAATATAAATATGTAATAACCACAACAAAAATATATAATTCACGCAATAATTTAACAGTTAGTTTAGTTTCTCAATTTTTTAGTTTTTTGAATTCTTCGATTTGCAATTTTTTCCTGTCTTCATTTTTTCGATTTTGCAATTTTTCAAATCGAAAAATGGGAAAATTGCTAAAGTATAAAATTGAAAAATCAAAAATGAAAAAAAGTAAAAATTCTAACATTCAGGCGGATTCTTACGACAAAAGTTAAACCAATTAAGCCATGTTAATTTTTCCTATGAAAGCAATAATGGGGAACGCTTTCGACATCAAGGTCGACGAAGTGCCTCGACTTCCATTTTCAATTTTTTCAAATTTTAGATTTGCAATTTTTCGTTTCGGTTTTTTATTTTTTTATTTTTTTACCATTTTTCAATGTAATAATTTTATACTTTTTGTTTTTATAATTTTAATTTTTTTAATTTTTCGTTTCTTCATTTCTTCGATTTGAATTTTCAAATTTTCATTTTTACTTTTTTTTGTTTCTCCAATTTTAGGATGCCATTTCATTTTCATTTTTAAATTTTTCAGGTTTCCCGTTTTCCAAATTTTGGATGTTTTCATTTTTAGATTTAGCAATTTTTCGATTTTGATTTCTTTTTCAGTTTGTCGATTTTTCAGTTTTTCATTTCTTCAATTTTTCGATTTTCAGTTTTTCGTTTGGGGTTTTTATTTTCTTAATTTTTCACTTTTTGGGTTCTTTAACTTTCAAATTTTTTAATTTTTCGTTTTTTTAAGTTTTAGATTTTTCAGTCTCCCGATTTTCCGATTTTTAAAATTTTCAATTGTGCCATTTTTGGATTTCCAGTTACAAATCCCGAGTTTTCGTTTTCTTTAATTTTTCAATTAATTTTTTCATTTTTTAATGTTTTGGTTTCATAATTTTTCGTTTTTCGATGCCAATTTTTTCAATTTCTCAATTTCTCGAGGTCCAATTTTATCAGTTTTTGGTTCCGTTTTTTTTTTATTTTTACAATTTTATCGAATTTTCACTGTTGTAATTTTATAATTTTTGTTTTTCCAGTTTTAATTGTTCCAATTTTTCTTATCTTCATTTGTTCGTTTTGCAGTTTTTCAATTTTTAATATTTTTTTGTTTCTCCAATTTTACGATGTCATTACATTTTCATTTTTAAATTTTTCAGTTTTCCGATTTTCCAGATTTTTCAGTTTTTCAGTTTGCAATTTCACGAGTTTTCATTCAATTTTTAAATGTTTCGGTTTTTTATTTTTTTTTCAATTTTTCGGTTCTTTAGTGTTTTAATTTTCTAAATTTTTCTTTTTTCAGTGTGAAAATTTCTGATTTTTTAATTTTCTCAGTTTTTCGATTTGTAATTTTTCGGTTTTCAATTTTTCGATTTTTCGACTTTTAGATCTTGCAGTTTCACGATTTCTCAATTTTGATGTAATTTTTTCAATTTTCCTATTTGTCAGTGTTCTGATTTTCAAATTTTTCTTTTTTCAGTGTGAAAATTTTTGTTTTTGGATTTTTTCATTTTTTTCCGTTTGTAACTTTTTTGTTTTCAATTTTTGGTTTTAAATTTTTCGATTTTTGATCTTTCAGTTTTTCGATATCATTTTTGAGTTCTTTAAATTTTCGATTGGCCACTTTTGGTTTCGCTTTTTATTTTCTTTATTTTTACAATTTTTCGATTGTCCATTGTTCCGATTTTGTGATTTTTTGTTTACTCAATTTCAATAACTTCATCTTTTTGTTTCTTCAATTTTTCAAAATGATCTCTTCAAATTTTCATTTTTATATTTTTTACTTTTCTTATTTTCCAACTTTTAGATGTTTCAGTTTTTAGGTTTTGCAACTTTTCAATTTGCGATTTCACAAGTTTTCATTCAATTTTTAATTTTTCAATTTTAAAATTTTTCATTTCTTCAATTTTTGTATTTATGTTGTAGTTTCATGTTCGGTTTTTTATTTTATTTATTTTTTCAGTTTTTCGGGTCTTCAATGTTTTGATTTTCCAATTTTTCTTTTTTTCAATGTGAAAGTTTTTGATTTTTGAATTTTTTTGTTTTTTCGATTTGTTATTTTTCGGTTTTCAATTTTTCGATTTTTCAACTTAGATTTTGCAGTTTCACGATTTCTCAATTTTGATGTAATTTTTTCAATTTTTCGATTTGTCAGTGTTCTGATTTTCAAATTTTTCTTTTTTTAGTGGATTTTTGGATTTTTTCATTTTTTTGATTTGTAAATTTTTGATTTTCAATTTTTCAACTTTTATATATTTTTTTACGTTTCTTCACTTTTTGATTTGCAATTTTTCTAATTATCACTTTAAGACAATTATCCGATAATAATTATAATTTAAAACATTTTTCAATTTTACGACTTTAGAATTTTTTTATTTTTCATTTATTCGATTTTTCGATTTTTCTCTTTTTAATTTTTCATTTTCTCGATGTATACTTTACGAATTTTCGATTCGATTCGTTTTTTCTTCTTTCCAGGTTTTTGAATAATTATTTTTTTTCTTATTTTTGAGTTTCTCAATTTTTTAGTTTCTTCAGTTCTTCGATTTGCAATTTTTTCCTATCTTCATTTTTTCGATTTTGCAATTTTTCAAATCGAAAAATGGGAAAATTGCTAAAGTATAAAATTGAAAAATCAAGAATGGAAAAAAGTGAAAATTCTAACGTATTCAGGCGGATTCTTACGACAGAAGTTAAATCAATTAAGCCATATTAATTTTTTCGATGAAAGCAACATTTTCAATTTATTCAAATTTTAGATTTGTAATTTTTCGTTTCGGTTTTTTATTTTTTAATTTTTTTACCATTTTTCAATAATTTTATACTTTTTGTTTTTATAATTTTAATTTTTTTAATTTTTCGTTTCTTCATTTCTTCGATTTGAATTTTTCAATTTTTCTTTTTTACTTTTTTATTGTTTCTCCAATTTTAGGATGTCATTTCATTTTCATTTTTAAATTTTTCAGGTTTCCGATTTTCCAAATTTTGGATGTTTTCATTTTTAGATTTGACAATTTTTCGATTTCCAGTTTGTCGATTTTTCAGTTTTTCATTTCTTCAATTTTTCGATTCGCAGTTTTTCGTTTGAGGTTTCTATTTTCTTAATTTTTCAATTTTTGGGTTCTTAAACTTTCAAATTTTGTAATTTTTCGTTTTTTTAAGTTTTAGATTTTTCAGTCTCTCGATCTTCCGATTTTTAAAATTTCCAATTGTGCCATTTTTGGGTTTCCAGTTACATATCCCGAGTTTTCGTTTTCTTTAATTTTTCAATTAATTTTTTCATTTTTTAATGTTTTGGTTTCATAATTTTTCGTTTTTCAATGCCAATTTTTTCAATTTCTCAATTTCTCGAGGTCCAATTTTATCAGTTTTTCGTTCCGTTTTTTTTTTATTTTTACAAT